ACTGTATATAAACTGAATCAATGTCATTTTTGAGAGGAAATTTACCCTGTAGAGTTCTGCGATTTTCAAACTGTAATGTTCGCTTTTTACAAGAGTAGTGAATACTGTATCAGTGATACCTTCTTTGGGGGGAAATTTACCCCGTAAAGTCTTACTATCTAAAACATTGGTGCTTTTGCTTTGAATTAATATATGGAAGATGTATCGATGTTATTTTTGGGAGGCAGTTCACCCTGAAGATTTTTGCTATCTTTGAGATGTTGTGAATCATAAAAACTATATCAGTTATTTTCTTTGGGGGGAAATTTACCCCGTAAAGTCTTGCTATCTAAACGATAGGTGTTTTTGCTTTTAATTACTGTATATAAACTGTATCAATATCATCTCTGAGAGGAAATTTACCCTGTAGAGTTCTGCGATTTTCAAAGTGTAATGTTCGCTTTTTATAAGATAAACTGTATCAATAATTATTTTAAGAGGAAATTTACCCTGTAGATTTTTGCTACCGCCAAGATATTGTGAAGCCTAAATTCTGTATGTGTGATATTCTTTTGGGGGAAATTTACCCCGTAAAGTTTTGCTATCTAAAATATGGTTGTTTTTGCTTTGAAATACCGTGTATAAACTGTATCAATATCATTTTTGAGAGAAAAATTACTCTATAGATTGTTGCCATCTTCACGATGTTTACGAATCATTAATACTGTATTAGAGATTTTCTTTTGGGGGGGGGGGGGAATTTACCCCGTCAAGTCTTGCTATCATGAAGATGGTTGCATTTGCTTTCAAACAATGTATATAAACTAAATCAATGTTTTTTAGAGAGGAAATTTACCCTGTAGAGTTCTGCAATTTTCAAAGTGTAATGTTCGCTTTTATAAGAGTAATGAATACTATGTCAGCTAATGATATTTTTTGGAGGGGAAATTTACCCCGTAAAATCTTCCTTTCTACAAGTTTGGTGTTTTGCGTAGAAATACTGTGTATAAACAGTATCAATATTATTTTTGAGAGAAAAATTACTATGTAGATTGTTGCCATCTTCACAATGTTTGCGAATCATAAATACTGTATTAGAGATTTTCTTTGGGGGGAAGTTTACCCCGTAAAGTCTTGCTATCATCAAGATGGTTGCTTTTGCTTTCAAACACTGTACATAAACTGAATCAATGTCATATTTTTGAGAGGAAATTTACCCTGTAGAGTTCTGCGATTTTCAAAGTGTAATGTTCGCTTTTTATAAGAGTAGTGAAAACTGTATCAGTGAAATTCATTGGGGGGAAATTTACCCCGTAAAGTCTTGCTATCTAAAAGATTGTTGCTTTTGTTTTGAATTACTTTAGGTACTGTTTCAATGTCATTTTTGAGAGGAAATTTACCCTGTATGTTTTTGCTATCTTTAAGATGTGAATCAGTGATTTTCTTTCGGGGGAAATTTACCCCGTAAAGTCTTGCTAAATTGTCAATAGTTCCTCCAAATATTTAAATTTCAGTTTATTTGTGACACTAGATCGTGTATCCATTAGAAAAATGCTGATTTTTCACAATCTTATGAATAAATATCTTATAAAACTGTGTTTTTTGTTAGATTGTGTCAATACCTGAGGGCAAAATGCCTAAAACAGAAAATAAGATTTTCTGTTTTGATTTTGGAATGCGTTAAAAGCTTCTTGAGATATCGCCCGGAAACAAAAGTGTTACAGACAGACAGAAATACAGACAGACGGACGGACAGACCCAAATAATATCCCCCACTTTCAGTGAAAGCGGGAGACAAAAAAAGCAATGCTATACAACAAACTAACTCTAAAGAAACATACAAGAACATGTCACATAAAGGTCATTATTTACAATAATAACTTATCTGTGATAAAAAACTAAAATAGTATTAAAGTACGAAAAAGTTCAACTAGCTAATATAACTAACTAATTATATGTAATAATGTTTCACTAAGTTGTTATGTAGATAAACAAATGAAATACTTTTAGTTAGTTTTTAGTTTTAAGAGTTGTCACGTAGGCCTAATTCACCAAGCACGTGGTATGCCATGTGAAACCTTTGAGGTATGCCTTTTTAGGAATGTTCTTCATGTGTGAATTATAATGTTATATTTCATATTAAATAATGCCATTTAATTATTTTTATAGATTCCACATAATGTAAAGTGCAACTGTGGAAAAGAAGATGATGATTTTACCATTGTACATGTTTATATCATTACTCTACCTCAGTAAAGGGTTAATTATATTATGTTTTTCAATTCTAGAAGTTCTTGAGGCTATAAAGTACATGTATACGCAGTTAGGTTAAGGACTCTCATATATACGTCAGCCTATGCAGAGGTTCAGGTAAGCTACATGTATTATGGCGTCACGTTGAAGCAATACAAATGAATCTTGATGAATAAAAACCATATATGCTTTCTGAAACACACTCAAATACTTTAGTTTATCATAAATATTGTCAAGATATATGAATGTGCAACTTATCTTGCCATAAGAGCAATAGAATGTAGAATGAAAGCCAGCTTGATCTCGCTGTACTTTCTGAGATCTCATGAGACGACGTCATTTCTTAGTTTGAGACGCAGTTTCTCTGTACTTGAGGCGTGGATCAAGCTTTTATCGGTGTATGCAAAAATAAAAACTAAATATGAAACAAGCGTAATCGGACCAAAATGGAGACATATTCTGAAATATATTAATCCACATTTTATTGTCAAACTTAATTGATAATGTGTAGACTTTACATTAAGCCGTAGGGAGCACATTTGTACAGTAACGTGCTAGAATGACAAGTCCAGCCACTCGAAAATGTCAAAAGTTCAACGATATCCGCTTCACTATAAATTCTGAATTTTTAAACACGTGTAGCTATTATTTCTACTATTTTGAAAAGTGCTGGGAGCTGGTTGTGCCTTGTTTATTTATTCCGTAATGTTACATTATTCTAGTGCGTATTAAATCTATGTCTGGAGTTAATAGAAAGACAGCTAAATTTTACACAATTCCCGAGCATGAGGAAGTTGCTCCCAGCAGTTTTCACGTTAAGAAATTTATCTCAAACAAAACAGAATAAATCATATAGCGGAAAGATACCCGTATATCGTTGAACTTTTGCGATCTTTGTAGTAGTACATAAATGTTCTAATTTAAAACCTGTCACGTGACAAACAGCTGATATAAGCGATGTCTCTTTGGCCGAACTCAGCACAGACCCGATATATACAAGTGGAAACATCACAATTCACATTCATTAAAACTAATGCTAAATAAAAAAGATATTAAAATTATATTCATTTTCTCTGAATATTGCGTATATTTCATGGGCGTCCTTAACCTAGCTGCGTATGATACTGCAGAGTTCATTGCAGGAATATTTCATGAATTTTATGAATTTTGAATGTGAAAAAAAAAACGTACTGCAACATCAAAATAGAGCGTGGGCCACAATTAACATAGGAATATAGAGGAAAAAATCTCTAAAAAGCTTCTCAAGAATAGTGAAGCTGGGATTTGTCACATTTTCATGGAAGAATCCTCAGGTAGCGTAGGTTCAGATTTGTTCAAATCATGACCCCTAGGGTGGGTTCTGAATAAAAATTCAAACTTAGAGGGAAAAGATCTATAAAAATTCAAAAAGCCATCATTAGTCAAAGATGGATGTTACATCTAAGAAAACACACTACCGTTTGTTCAAACCATGCTCATTTTTGGAGCAGGTCTAATTTCCAAGTTCCGTATATACTCGCCTATAAGTCGGGTTTTTGGGAGATAAACTTTGGTCCAAAATTCAATGTCCGACTTATAGGCGAGTTATAAAAAGATTTGTATTTTAGAAGGTCAATCCCTCTAATATAAGCCTCATAAATACAACCGACTTATAGGCGGACCGACTTATAGGCGACTATATACGGTAACTATAAGCTCTATATTGACCAAACTTGCATGGATGATACATCTAAGAAAACACACTACCAGGCTTGCTTTAAATCCTTGATCTGACCTACATTTTCCAGATAAGTGAACAGATTTAAGTTTTGGAGCATGTCCATTCTAAAGTAACAATAAGCCCTATGTTTGACCAAACTTATGTTGACCAAAGCATGAATGATGCACATACAGGTGTCTGGAGGGGAGGGGGTGGGGATATTGATCATATAGTAAATTTATGAACTCTTCAAAAATCTTCTGTCCTCTCTGTACATGGATATTTAGCAGACTCCATGTATCGATATGATGAGCAAGGGTGTCTCTTTCAAAATGTTGAAATGAATGACCCCAGGGTCAGGGGCTCTAGTGTTAGGACAGGGCTCAATGGATCATACAGTGATAATGCATGAATTCTTTATTTGAAAACCTTCGTTTCTGCTCATGGATATTAAACAGGCAATCTAATTGAATGGTTATGGTGAACTAGAGTGCATTTACCTTAATTGTGAAATTAAAGGCCAGTGGGTAAGGGGTTATGTTGTTAGGGTGGGCACAATTGATAATATTATTGAAATATTTTAATTTTTTGGAGATCTACTTCTCTGCACCTCTGTATGAAGCAGACAAAACTTAATATTGTACAAAGGTTATGATAAGAAAAGGTATTTCTTCCTAAATTATGAAATTCGTGTCCCAGATTCAGTGGTTCTGGTTTTAGGTTTGGTATCTACTGATCAGAGAGTGAAAAATGCATTATTTTTTATAGGTGACCTTTTGCTTTCTCTTTTCGTCTGTCGTTGTGCATCGTGCGTTAATATTTACAAATTTTCAGCTTTTTCTCTGAAGATAGTGAACCAATTTCAATCAGTTTTCGCGTATATCATTTTTGGGTAAAGGGGAGTAAAAATTATGAAATTCCTGACACCAGGAGGGCCTGAGGGCTGGAGCTAAATCATCAAAGTACATGCAATTTTTAAAAATCTTCTATTTACTCCTGGACATCAAGCAGTCAAACTGTTGGTATGATTGTAATGAGCATTGAGCCCTCTACCAAAATTGTTAAATTTATGGCCCCAGGGCCAGAGGTTCTGGTTTGGTTTGGGTTCTGATGTACATATAGTGAAAATGCATTACTAATTTACTTTTAAAAAATATATTCTTCTCTGCTCTCGGGCATTTTGCCGATAAACCATGCACATAGTTATGATGAGAAAGGTTCCTCTTCCTAAATTGTAAATTTCATGGCCCCTGGGTTAGAGATCTGGTGTTAGAGTGGGGCTCTATTGATTATATGTTGAAAATGTATGAATTCTTTGAAAATCTTCTCCTCTGCTCCTGGGTATTATGCTTCTGATCTAAGTGTATAGTAATGATGAGCAAGGGTGCTTCTTCAAGAATTGTAAATTTCAAGGCCTCTGGGTAAGGGGTACGGGGAGATAATATACTGAAAATAAAATAATGCTTTGAAATCTGCCTTTTAGTATTCATTAAACATTTATGATAAGCAAAGGTGCCTTTTCCAAAATTGTGAAATGTGTGGCCCCATTTTCAGGGGTTCCTGTGGGCTGGGGGCACCACTGATTTTATAGTGGAAATGAATTCGCAGCTCTGTTAAGGCTGCATAAAGGGGGCGGGGCCTAATTTATACGGGAAAAGTTTACTGTGACATCACACAAATATAGCAATTCCTCACAATAACATAAAATGAAATAATTTGCGAATCTAAACTGCATAAGAGTAATGAACTACATCAAAACTTACCACTGCATTCATTTTTGTCGCTAGTTAAATCCCACACAGCAAGATATAAACAAGTCACCGATCGCAATGCACTTGTCGACATGACGTCATCATGGTAAAGTTTGACGCATTTTATGTGCAATGAGAGGCGGATCAAGTAATTTTTTCACAGTGAAAAATGCATTTTATTATTAAACAGAATATTATTTGCAAATCTTAGGAAGACCATTAATACAAATCTGAAACGTTTGTTTAGTGGCATTATATAAAAAATATCGAGAAAATGTATTGAATTAATTCTACCGTGTTTTTGTCTACAGGGTGTGCATGTTTCACGCCGAGGTGCCTCATTAAATCGCCTTTTCGCAAGGGCATACACTTAATAAATCTTGACCATTTTTTGAATACACATAACGGACTTATTCCTTAACTTGAAAAGTGCTGCTGCTTTCCTGAAATCGATAGCATAATTTAATAAATACATAAAATACTTGGTAACGGTCACACATATTTCGACATTAGTCAGATAACTTGAAATTTAAACTAATAAAATGCGAATTCTATTTAAAGCAGCAGCACTTTTCATTAACTACAAGTTATGTAGAAACAATCCATTACTTTAATTTTTAATTCTAACTAGGGTATGCCCTTGCGATATTGAAATTTGTTTGTGACCTACATTCAGTACACATTACATGCATTTATCACGTGATTATCAAATGACGTGACCAAACCAAATTCAGTACAGAGCGGGGTATACAATGTTATTTCAAAGAATGTTAAAGTCATAAGATAATATAGTACCTTTACAAAAATAAATTCAGTTTAAAAAGGTATGTATTTATGCACGTTTACATTCTGTTGATTTCTTTGAAGTACGCCTTAACAGTGCTGCGTTTTTTTTTCTTTGTTCCTCTGCTCAGTCTCTTGGTATTAAATAATCAAACTAAGCATGCTATACAGTACCAACCAGACCCAACCTGACACCTAAGCAGTCCCAGAAAGCAGTCCCCGGGACTGCTTTGGGACCGCTCTGGGACTGCTGTGGGACTGCTCTGGGACCGCTGTGGGACTGCTGTGGGACTGCTCTGGGACTGCTCTAGAAAGCAGACCCAGCAGCCCCAGCAGTCCCTGGGACTGCTTTCTGGGACTGCTTTGTTTACTCATGCATGAAAAAGGTTCTGAGTGACATGATAGCTCCGCCCCTTGTGTATTCTGAATTTGCAGGCTCCCTGTTGTTGTTTTGTTTACTTTCAGCAGAGAGGTGTTTAAGATAAAGAATAAAAAAAAAAAACAAGGATTTTTTTTTTCAACATTTTAATAAGTAGAGATAGATATACATGTAATTACTAAATGTCTTCAGGGGCTGTAAATTTACACAATTGTAGTCTAGAATTAATTTTAAAAAATGAAAGTAGTTAAAAGGGAAGTCAGGAGATGACTTTTATCCTTTAAATAAACTTTAATACAGGTGTTTGAAAAAAAATATATATCTAGGCCTATTTAATTAATAAATGCTAATTAAAACTTTAATACAGGTGTTTGAAAAAAAAATATCGAGGCCTATTTAATTAATTAATGCTGTCAAGATACAGAATATACTCAAAGTTTGCATTAGCACTATTTGAAAACAAACAAACAAACAAACTTGTCATTACAATAAGACATTCAGAGGGACGTACTGTACTGGATTTTTTTTAAATTGAAAAAGCTAAAACCATATGCATGCTAAAAAAGAGCTTTCCATGCTATTTTTTACCGCCCTCAAATAAAACCTAATAATTTATTAAATGACCATGAAATAAAATAATTCTACCATTCTTCAGTCATTTAAAACATTATATTTGTTAACAATTATTGGTGGATTAATTTATGAATTTGTTTTTGATTTATAAACAAGTAATTAAAAGAGTAAATTTATAAACATTTTAAAATATTGGGAATTGTGACTTATTTCTTATTTGTTTTGTTTGTGTTTTCCTGGCCGATTAATAAAAAGCAATACAAATGTATAAAATGGTGTCAACACCTGAAGTTTCAATCGCCTTCGGGCATGATTAGCAGGAAGTCAATGCATGTTATTTGGGTATCAGAGTTACACATCACTGAACATGCTGGTCAACAATGACACTAATTTCAATCTATGTACTGCAAAAAATCTTCGTTTCAATAAATGTGTATAAATTTATTTCGGGATTAATTAATTTTGAACATAATCTGAGGGTTCCATTCGCGTGATTTACAGATGTACACTCAAACGTTTATATAATAAAAGTATTATTGTTTTCTGTTACATAGATAATTTAACGATAATTAAATTGGCAAGTCAGTGAAAATAATCATGACTGAAATATAATACACAAAGAATTTTTCAAAAGCTCCAGTACTTAAGAAAACTGCATTCAGAGAATAGTATGGAAATCGGCCTTGCTCTATAATTATAAGGCCTATTTAAAGCTAGTTTTGATAGAAAATAAATAACTCAAGCTAAATTATCTACAAAAAATAAATAAATAAATAAATAAATATGGAAACCAATATCAATCACAGTAATTTAGAAATTGATTTATTTTGGTGAAAAATTAATATACCACAAAACTGTGTTTAAATATTCATGTTATTTATAGGTGTGAACGTCTTCTTTGTTCAATATTTATTATTTGTTTCTATACGCGTAGTGTGATTTTCCTAACAGTTAAAAAATGACTGTCGCATGAGAATTGATACTGCTCAGAAAGAAATGGATCATCAATTTCAACTGCCTTTTATAGTTACATTGTTTATTGGTAATCTCATTTCTGAGTAAGCTCCGCCCATTAATTAACCACGCCCACTGGGACTGCTGGGACTGCTTTCTGGGACTGCTGGGACTGCTTTCTGGGACCGCTGGGACTGCTCTGGGACCGCTGTGGGACTGCTCTGGGACTGCTTTAGCAGTCCCAGAAAGCAGTCCCCGGGACTGCTCTGGGACTGCTTTGTGTCAGGTTGGGTCTGGTTGGTACTGTAAGTGTATAGTATGATGAGCAATAGCGTCTTTTACAAAATTAATAATTTCAATGGCCTCTGGTTTAAAACACGTACCAAATTCAATTGTTTGAAAGTTATTACATGAAACTCACGTGTCCTATAAGGCCATCGGACCTTGTTTTAATAAAATCATCTTCACTTCTCTGTTCCGAGCTAGATATTAAGCAGGCAAATCAAGTACATAGTTTTAATGAGCAAGGATGTTTTTATCAGATTTGTGAAATTCGTAGTCACTGGGTCTGGGACTGAGGTGCTAGGGCAGTGATCAATTGATTATATAAGGACTTTTTTACTCTAGTTTGAGAGAAGTAATTCCCTTTGAATATTCACCTTTGATAACCCAGGTGAATGTTTAAGCCCTTATATCTCATTAATATCTAAAGGAAGACAAATATTTTTATTATCAAATAAAATATATAAGTTTGAGAGGAATAATTCCGTTTTTTAACTCAGGTGGCCTTAAGGCCCTTGGACCTCTTGTGTAATATCAAAGTGAAGACGAAAATTTTTCATGATTAAAAAAAATAAGGTCAATAAAATACAAATTTCTGTAGAATGACAAATAATAATTTCCTGGTTTTCTTTCCACAGAACACACAAAACCTGTATAAATAGTGACTGTACAGTTGCTCCGAGAGACAGGAGGTCTGTGTGGTATACATTTCTCTGCTACTCTATGTAACTATACAGTTGTTAATAGATAAAAAAAAAATCAGTGTGGTATACATTTCTCTGTTTCTTTTTATATATAACTGTGTAACAATACACTGTAGATCATACATATCTATAAAGTGTGGAATATCATCACAAATATCTACATTTAATACTACACATTGCTGTAACTTTATAAATTGATATTTAAAAGACAGTAAAGTTTTGGATAACTATAATATGTTTGTATAAAGTATATTATACAAACACTTTTTGTAAAATTCTGAAACACAGCCACATACAGCCAAGATAGTGCGGTATAACTCCACAGGAGGAAATATCCAGACCATACAACACCACCACAACACAGGTCATAGACTATATATATTACCTCCTATATCACAGAGAACCGCAATGGTGATGTTATTGTGTAAAGTTTTGGATAACTATAATATGTTTGTATAAAGTATTTTATACAAACACTTTGTGTAAAAGTTTATCATGATTTTATACATTTTGTAAATTTGAATAAAGTTAATTTATACAACCGGAAATATTTGATGTCGAGTTACATTTCAAATATTTTCATACTACACATGTACTGCAGAAGAATTTTTAAAGTCAACTGTATTTCATTTTAAATGTGTTTTATTCTTTTAAAATTGATTTTTAAACAGACTTCATTGGGGACACTTGGACCTTGCTATGCAAAAAAAAAAAAAAAAAAAAAAAAAAAAAATAAATAAATAAATAAATAAAATTCGAAGAATTCAGCAGGTAAAGGTATTTATGTATGTCTGTGTCCTAATATTAATGACTTCTTTAAGTTCTGAAAACCAAAACATTGATATAAATACATGTATGTGATTGAGTACATTGTAAATAGAAGCATGTTCTTGATGTGGATAATTCTAGTTCAGTGTTGTAATTCACAGAGAAATCTCCATGAGGAAATCAACACGTGATTCTGTTATGGAGAGAAACCACAGCATAAACATGGTTAAGAAATAAATGTCTTCTGTAAATGATGGCTAGATTTGTGTTACAGAAATCTGTCACAGTGACAGGTGTTAGTTGGTGTCGTCACATTTCCCGTGTGACGTCAGACCGTGTCTGGATCTGTGATTATAAAAACAATCTCATCTTGACAAACAAAGCAGGTGAAAAACTATATCATCTGACAGATATAAGTAGTGGACTATTTAGCTATGGAGTACACACTTTGAACAGTGACGGTGATTTAATTTATATAGACAGTGAGTATAACATCAACAAACTGTCTACAGATAACAAGGTGAAGACTACATTAATAAAGTACACAGCAGCATGGAGACCACAGTGTGTCTACAGCTCCCCCTCCACTGGAGACCTGCTGGTCGGGATGTACAATTCTGAAACACAGCCACATACAGCCAAGATAGTGCGGTATAACTCCACAGGAGGAAATATCCAGATCATACAACACCACCACAACACAGGTCATAGACTATATATATTACCTGCCTATATCACTGAGAACCGCAATGGTGATGTTATTGTGTCTGACTTAGTACGTGGTGTTGTGGTGACGGATCGTCATGGTAAACATCGCTTCTCCTACAGAGGACCTCCGTCAGGATCACGACTAGAACCACATGGAATCTGTACAGACGCGTTGTCACACATCTTTTTGTGTGATGATAACACCCGCTCAGTACAGATGATTGACTGTAATGGCAACTTTCTGTCACAGATACAGACACTACAACACGGGATAGACATACAACGGAGCCTGAGTTATGATGATACCACACACACACTGTGGGTAGGGTCAGCCAGCAACAAAGTAAACATATACAGAGTGGTAGACGGAAACTCTCTGACCGGTAAGTAGCTCTGTAGTTTGTTTTATTGTATCTTATAATTACAATATCAATTCCAATAATAACTACACTATGTAAGGGAAGTCATTTAAGAATAAATAGTAACTGTACATATATCCAAGTGTTTCTTTACCAGTGTTTTAGTTACCGTAATCAGAAATGCTGAATATGTAAACAACAAACATGGGCTGTTAAAGATGAAATTTATGACTACAAATATGATAAATAGATTAAAAAGAAATGATAGATTGATATTCAGTCTGTGATTGTAATTGTAAGATATTGTGTGTAAATCTACATTCTCTATAACCACAGACTTTTATTTTAAACTTTTCTGTATTTTTTTTTCTCAGAAATTTCTAACAAAAAGTACATACATAGATCTAATACATTTCCGCGACAGACATATTTTGATTTCTAGATCCAGTTATGGTATTCTGTCCTTATGGTAATTATAAACCTTTGATTTTTTGAAATAAAATTGGTGTAGTATGATATTTTTTTTGAGAAATAGTGGATTAAATTTTTAAATTTTGAAATCTGTTTTAATTATTACGATATCTTTTTAGTGTATTCAGTCTAAGTAGTCCTACATTCAGAACAGATGACATTTTGTACTGATGTTGACAGTTAGATATAGACACCATTGATATTAACACAGCTCTGTCTAGGAATGTTGTGGATTTCTTAGCAGGTGTGGAGGAGGGGGTGTCTACACTGTGTACTGGGTTGACATTGATATTAACTCAGCTCTGTCTAGGAATGTTGTGTATTTCTGTAGCAGGTATTCAGTAAATCTATACTGTGTACTTGGTTGACATTGATAGTAACACAGCTCTGTTTAGGAATGTTGTATATTTCTGTAGCAGGTGTGGGGGAAAATCTACACTGTATACCGAGTTCCAAATTTGCATGAGAGAGTTCTAGAAATAATGAAATTCAAAATTGTTGTCAACTTAGGATGAAAAGATAAAAAAAGATTTATTTCTTAGACACGACAGAAAATAAAAATAGCCCGAATGCTACTGCGTTGATCAATTTTAGTGACTTGCTTTTAAAAGGGACATAACTCAATTTTCTTCTTTAAGATTCGCAGAAAATGGGTTGTCCCTTTTTTCATAATAATTGACTGATTGATTGTATGTTGTTTTACGTCCCATTCGAGAATTTTTCACTCATATAGGGACGTCACCATGTACCGGTGAAGGGCTTCAAATTTTGACCTTTACTCAGCACTCAGGGTCATTGAGCAGTGAGGGATCTTTATCGTGCCAACCCCTTGCGTGACACGGGGCCTCGGTTTTTAAGGTCTCATCCGAAAGACCCGCAACTTTCACTTCAAAGTGCCTAGTGAATGGCGAAGGAACAGTTGCTACCCATTTTTTGTCGACTTAGGTCAGTCGCGGCCAAGATTCGAACTCACGACCTCCCGATCACGAAGCGAGCGCTCTACCGACTAAGCTACCGTGAACGGGTACACATACCCAACTAAATGTTGAGGCCTTGAGGGATGACGTATTACATGTCTGTCCTATCTCAAGTCAATAATAATTCATTGGAGTGACATACATAATTGTATATTCATAGGCTGGATATGACTTATTTATGAGAAAATTGTTAGATTGCTTTTTTTAACTTACACCCTTGGTGGGTCCCACCCTCAAGAATGTGTGTGTCACTGTTTTTAATTTTTAGCTCACCTGAGCCAAAGGCTCAAGAAAGCGTTTCCGATCAAAGAGAATTCGGCGTCCGTCTGTCCTCTGTCGTCTGTAAACTTTTCACATTTTCGACTTCTTCTAAAAAAATATTGGACCAATTTCAACCAAACTTGCCACAAAGCATCCTTGGGTGAAAGGAATTAAAGTTTGTTCACAGGAAGTGCCGCGACCTCTTTCAAGGGGAGATAATTAAGAATTCGTGAAAATTTGATGGCATCTTTTAAAAATCTTCTTCTCAAGAACCACTTGGCAAGAAAAGATGAAACTTATTTGAGAGCTTCACTACATACTCTAGATTCAAATTTCTTCATATCATAACCCCTGAGTGTAGGGTGGGGCCACCAGAGGGGGTAAAATTTTTACAAAGGAATATATAAGAAATATCTTTAAAAATCTTCTTCTCAAGAAAAGCAAAACCATGGTTAGTCATATTATTACAAAAGTATCCTCTGGTAGTGTAGATTCACGTTTGTTCCAACCATGACCCCTAGGGGTGGGGCAGGGCCACAATAGGGGGGGTCAAAATTTACGATAGTAATATATAAGAAATGTCTTTAAAAATCTTCTCAAGAACAGCAAAGCCATGATTAGACATATTATTACAAAAGTATCCTCAGGTAGTGTAGATTCACGTTTGTTCCAACCCTGGCCCCCGGGGGTGGGACAGGGCCACAATAGGGGGGTCAAAGTTTACAATAGAAATATATAGCAAATACCTTTAAAAATCTCCTTTTCAAGAACAGCTGAGCCATTATTAGACATATTAATACAGAAGTATCCTCGGGTAGTGTAGATTAAAGTTCAAATCATGACCCTGGGGTAAGGCGGGCCACAACAGTGGGTCAAGGTTTACATATGAATATATAGATGTAATGGTTAAAGGACATTGGAGTAAAACGCTTTGAAGACTTCAAATAGTGGAATGACCTGACAGTCCTTGGAATGGACTAGCCTAAGGGTATAAAAGGCAAATCAGAAGGTAGCTGAAGAAGTTCGATGATGATTCAGCAATAAAGAAGTTAAGGTATTCCATCCTAATAGCAAAATGTTCAATGAAATTGAATACATAACAAATGTTTAGGTGATGAATACTCAGTATATTTAGACATAGTTCCCATTTATTATTATTAGAATGTAAGGGTGAGATGCATTCTAATTTATGACCTTGAATTTTGGTAAGAGTTATCTCCCTCCGTTTTTAATTAATAAAAAAATCAATTTTAAAAATCTTACCTGGTAAAAAAAAATCATTTTCAATTGTCATTCTTATTATTTGAATTTTTATTTAAAAAAAAAATGCTTCATAGACTTCAATGCAATCTTTGTTAAGTACTTAAGTTCTGGGTTCTGGGTGAAGTAAATCTAAAGAAGATTGAGACAACTGGTTCTTATCTATCAATGGGAACCTAGCGGAGAAACACGGTGCAAATAGTACCTTATCCAGTCCCCATCCCTAGATGAAAGAGAAAATTTAAGTACTATGTGATATACCCTCAGATATAGCTGTACCAATCATTAACTCAGACAGAGTAATAGGAAAATCTATGTATCCCTTGTAAGAACCTGATCAGAGGAAATATTTTTTGAAATCTTCTTCTCAAGAACAACAACGCAACACAGTTAAGGCTGCAATAATGAGGCGGGGCCTAATTTTTACAGGAAATGCTTACTATGACATCACACAAAAATATATGTTATTCAAATTACCACAAAATAAAATGATTTGCTATTTTAAACTGTTGGATAGCTTTAAACTACATCAACACTTATTATTGCATGTATTTTAGTCCTTGGTTTAATCCCACACAGCAATGTATAAACAAATCATTGATCGCTATGCAGTTGTCAATGTGACGTGATATCGTAAAATTTGACGCAGTTTGTATGCAGTGCGCGGCGGATCAAGTTATATTTTATACAATGAAAACTGTATTTTGTAATTAGATAAAACATTATTTGCGGATATATAAGAGGCCGTTAACTTGGATGCAATGTCTATTTTATGATTTTATTCATATACTTCCCGTACATTCCCTAGACAAGCGAAATTGCCGTATACATGTATTTGTATGCAGATTTATTGAAGGGTAATAGGAGGGTCGTAATAAATCGATATATTGAAAGGGTATACCCTCAATGAATTATGACAAGCTTTTACAAATAAACTCAAGAGGTATGAAGACATTTAAAAAGTGCTGCGAACCTGATGAAATCTTACAAATGAATTAATTATATCTATATTTAAGGTACTTGACCAGCAAAATATTCAACATACGGTCTCACAAATGTAATTTTATGAATTATATAGTAGAATTAGAGTATGTTCGCAGGACTTTTCACAGACTACTAAGAGTGTTGAAAATAATTATAAATTAAACTTAGATTTTTAACTTGGTTATAAATGCCCTTGCAATATTGGAATTTATAGATGACCTCAGTACTACAGGTATATTTGCTAAAAACACGTGGCTGCCACATCACTTGACAAGTCTAAATAATAAATCTAATCGTCCTCGACATGTAGTTTTCAACTACATTACATTTGTCCGATAATAGTAAAGTCCTAAAAAGAATCGCCCATCCTTGTAAAGAATGTATTTTCTATATAAAAAAAATTCCCCCATATTTCCATTTGGCACCTTAACCGTACTGCGTAAGCCATTATTAGTCATATACGAAGGATGATCAAAAAGTTCGCGAACTATCTCTATATTTACAAAACCACAATTCAGATCAGAATGAAATTTGGCACACTTATAGTCATACATATATTCTATAAATAGCAGGTGCTATATAATGTTTTGCTCCTTGTTTGTGACGTCACTATGTGAAAATGACGTCAGTATGTAGGTGACTTGTGACAAAAAATGCTTGACTCAGTCGTACTCGAGCAACGAACGGCTGTAAAGTTTAACGTTTATCTTGGAAATTCCATTGCAGTAGAATATGATAATTTGTACAAGGTTTACGAAGAAAAAGACTTACCAGAAGTTCAATCACTAATTGGATTGATTGTTTTAGTGAAGGCAGGGAGATGGTTAAAAATGATGTTTGTTCCGTTGCCCTGCAAAAACAAGTCGGGGAAAAGATGTGGCCTTAGTTGAGCAATTTGTTATGAAAGAACGCCAAGTTACTATTAGAAAAATAGTTGAATACCTTAACAATAATTATAATAATTAAATCCCTTAAATATTGTTAACTTTAGACTTTAAACATATAATATATGATAAAAAGAGGTCGTCCATACCTTATCCACATTAGATAAACGACCCGCCCGAGACACAGGACTCGGGTTTTGATGATCACCATGCTAATTTTGGGAGGGGATGTCCTTATCCACCCATCCTATTTCCGAGATTTGGCCATTTCTGACAGATGGACTGTTCTTGTTAAAGAAAATAATTTGCATGGTAAGAAATATAAGACTCGCATCAAACTACACAATGTCATTTTCTTCCTATGCTCAAGAAGTCTTTGAAAAAGATGTTAGAGGTCAAAATCATTCTATTTGTCTATATTCTTGATCAGAAAACTACGTGCATATTTTTAGGTCACCTGAGTCACTCAGGTGACCTATTGCTATCCGTTTTTGTCTGTCGTCGTGCTTCGTGCGTCGTCCGTTGTCCGTCGTGCGTCGTGCCTTAACATTTAAACATTTTCAGCTTCTACTCTGAAACCGCTCAACCAATTTCAACCAATTTTGGCATATAGCATCTATCACAAAAATAGTGAATTTCATGGTCCCTGCGCCCCCTGGGGCCTGAGGGACGGGGCTAAAACCACCAAAATTAATGCAATCTTTAGAAATCCTCTTCTTTACTCCTGGACATCAAGCAGTCCAACTGTTGGCATGATTGTGATAAGCATTGGCGCGCGCCCTCTTCCAAAATTGTGAAATTCATGGCCCCAGGGTCGGGGTTCTGGTGCTAGGGCGGGGCTATATAGATGATATAGTGAAAGTGCATTATTTCTTTGAAAATCTTCTTCTCTGCTCCTGGGTATTAGATAAACTAACTAAGTACATAGTTAAGTAGAGCAGGACTGTATCTTCCAAAATTGTGAATTTCATGGCCCCTGGGTCAGGGGTTCTGGTGTTAGGGTGGAACACTATTGATTATATAGTGAAAATGCATTAAATCTTTGAAAATCTTCTCTGCTCCTGGGTATGACATAAAGTAACTGAGTACATAGTTATGTAGAGCATGACTGCCTCTTCCAAACTTGTGAATTTCATTGCCCCAGGGTCAGGGTTCTGGTGTTAGGGTGGGGCTTTATTGATTATGTAGTGAAAATGCATTAAATTTTTGAAAATCATCTCCTCTGCTCCTGGATATGAAATAAAGTAACAAAGTACATAGTTATGAAGAGCAAGAGTGTCTCTTCCAAAACTGTGAATTTCATGGCCCCTGGGTCAGGGGTTCTGGTGTTAGGGTGGAACACTATTGATTATGTAGTGAAAATGCATTAAATCTTTGAAAATCATCTCCTCTGCTCCTGGGTATGAAATAAAGTAACAAAGTACATAGTTATGTAGAGCAAGACTGTCTCTTCCAAAATTGTGAATTTCATGGCCTCTGGGCCAGGGGTTCTAGTGTTAGGGTGGGGCTCTATTGATTATGTAGTGAAAATGCATTAAATCTTTGAAAATCTTCTTCTCTGCTCCTGGGTATGAAATAAAGTAACTAAGTACATAGTTATAATGAGCATGACTGCCTCTTACAAACTTGTGAATTTCATGGTCCTTGGGTCAGAGGTTCTGGTGTTAGGGCGGGGCTCTATTGATTATTTAGTGAAAATGCATTATATCTTTGAAAATCTTCTTCTCTGCTCATGAGTATTAAATAAAATTAACTAAGTACATTGTTATGATGAACATAGCTTCCTCTTCCAAATTTGTGAATTTCATGGCCCCAGGGCTAGGGGTTCTGGTGTTAGGGCGGGGCTCTATTGATTATGTAGTGAAAATGCATTAAATTTTTGAAAATCATCTCCTCTGCTCCTGGGTATGAAATAAAGTAACTAAGTACATAGTTATGAAGAGCAAGAGTGTCTCTTCCAAAATTGTGAATTTCATGGCCCCAGGGTCAGGGGTTCTGGTGTTAGGGTGGGGCACTATTGATTATGTAGTGAAAATGCATTAAATCTTTGAAAATCATCTCCTCTGCTCCTGGGTATGAAATAAAGTAACTAAGTACATAGTTATCAAGAGCAAGAGTGTCTCTTCCAAATTTGTGAATTTCATGGCCCCAGGGTTAGGGGTTCTGGGGCTAGGGTGGGGCTCTATTGATTATGTAGTGAAAATGCATTAAATCTTTGAAAATCTTCTCTGCTCATGGGTATGAAATAAACTTAGTACATTGTTATGATGAGCATGACTGTCTCTTCCAAAATTGTGAGTTTCTTGGCCCTTGGGTCAGGGATTCTGGTGAAGGGGGGGGGGGGGCTCCATTGATTATAAAGTGAAAATTCATAATTTCTTTCGAAACATTTTTTTTCTACTCCTGGTTTTAAAGCAAAGAAATAAGTGTATAGTTATGATGAGCAAGGATGCTTTTACAAAATTTTTAAAACTTGTGGTCTTAGGGGTTCTGTTGTTTCTCGGGGGGGGGGGGGGGGCTCTATTTGATAATATAGTGAAAATGTGTGAAATCTTTGAAAATCTTCAACTAATTGCATAGTTATGATGATGAGGGTACCTCTTCCAAATTTGTAAATTTTCAACATCTGGACCATTTAGTCAAGTGTTCTGGTCCTGGCCAGGGCTCTATTAATTTGTATTCTATTGAGTGAAGTTATTCCCCATTTGCCATTCACTTTTGTTAATTATTCACTGTAGATTATGTATTTGAAAGGTTAATAGAATAAGAGAATTATGCAAGAACATTTATTGTATAATATGAAAAGTACTTTCATAGTTTTAATAATCAGGTAGACTTGGAAATAATAGATGAATAAAAATGAAACAAAAATAACTTATCTTCTTAAATGTTCTTCAATGGCCAAGTGAGGTCAATGTGAGAGGTAATAATATAGACATTCATTTTGTTTAAAGTCTGCATGGTAATAGTGATAAATGGGGGACAGATAGAAAGATACTAGACCAATTATTTTGTTGATCTTAATCGTATTAATTTTCTTGCTATTGCGCAACAATTAAAGCTTCATTTATCAGTTTATGGATCCTCTAAATTGTTGAACTAAGGTGACCGTTAAGGCCCTTGGGCCTCTTGTTTTCAATAGACAAGGAAAAATTCAGAAATCCATGAAACATGCCTAAGATATCGTGGATAATTTTCCAGAGCGGATGTCACACAAGTTCATTCTTCATTGTCACCATAATCAAAACCACGTCTAAACTGTATCACTTAATCTACATTGTTTGTTCATTAATTCAATTTGATAGATAACTGCAAAAGATACACAAGCCAATTCATGTTGCTCAACGGTGATTATTATCATTAAAGAATTACAGGACAGTCGGGGTGACGACATGAATGTTTTTAATAGTAATTAACACATCTCAGACTGACCAATTACCCCACAATTCTAATCTGGAGAGCCATAATTACCTCCCAATCAGCCTAAATAAATAATTAAAAACACTAAATTAAACGTTTAAGTAGGAATTTCTTTTTTTCAAAAATGAATTTTAGAAGATTGTCATCAGTTTTACATATATTTTAATTTTTTTTTCGACTAACCGATTACAGATTTTCTAACCGAATGCCATCGTTCCGACCGAGTAATCGGTTAACCGGTTAGAAATTGTCATCCCTAATTTTTAGCCTAATATGCGAAAAATAAATCCTTATATTTACTGGAAGGTCACCTGCAGGTAAATATAACGATGTTTTTTTTTTCTAACATTGTTGGCTTTCAGCCTTTCAGAGAGATAGGCATTATTCAAACATATAATAGAAAGGAAGAGTTACACTAAAAAAGCCTTTGCTTTGTGAAAATTCAGGAAGATTAATTATTTACAATATCAAACTTTATTCCTCTAACAGGACTTCCTCTGGAGGACATCAAATGTAAAAAGCATCCTAGAAGTCCCCTGGACCAGTTCTGTACCCCGTGTGGTGTTCCCTTGTGTGTGGAGTGTACCAGCTCTGAGGATCACAGCAGACATGAACTTACGAATATAGATACATTGTTTGACAACATTCACTGGAAAGAAGGTAGATGTTTGAAGCTCTTTTGAAACTTGATATCTGTAGCAAATGGAATATGTTTTTAATATTTGTCTATCATTCTGTTTTTCTCATATAAAAAAATATATAAAAATGACCTTTTGTGGCCTGTGCCAAAGGTCAAAATGATAATTTTCTGATCAAAGTTTGTAGGCCATCCATTTAATTGGCTGCCTTCTTGCCTGTAGGTTTGCCCTAACAAAAATTTACTATAGTTAACTATAGTTTACTATAGTTAACTATATTTTATTATAGTTATCTATAGTTAACTATAGTTTACTATAGTGAACTTTAGTAAAAACTTTGATATTTTGATTTAGTATGAAACTTTACACTGGAACTTTTATCTGAGATTTCAAAGCTTAAAATTTCTTAAATTCGGTAACTGTGAAATAAAATTTGGAAACAATATGTGAATATACAAATAGCAGTTCCATTTAATATTAATAATGTGCATATATGGAATGAAGAACAAAAAAAAATAACAATATGAAATCCATAGTAAAAAATACTTTGAATTACTATAGTAAAAATAACGTTGATACTATAGTAAACTATAGTTAGCTATAGCAAACTATAGTTAACTATAGTAAACTACAGTGTGGGAGGTATAGAAAAATCACCCTGTCCATCTGTCTGTCTAATTTGTTTGTTTGTCTGTGCAATCATGCCCAGGTAATAACTTTAATAACTTCATAATGGGGAAACACTAGAAGCTTATACTGGGTACAATGATTTTGTATCTTGACCTTGACCAAAGTAACTTTACCAATATTAAGGTCACTTGCAGAAAATGTCTTCAAGGAATTCCCTAAATTGTATTCATTGCATTAAATTCATTTGAACAATTTGAAGTTCACTAGCAGAAAAAAATATGATATGGGTATCTTACTTAATTTTTTAATGGATAAACATTGGAAGTTTTTGTTTCACACAAAACTTACCTAGGATTTGAGGGTTTCATGGGTCATCATTTTTGCTCAAGAACAACATGATCATAGTTATTCAAGCATCCTCTGGTAGTGCACATTTTGCTTTGTATTGATCATGGCCTCAAAGGATAGAGAGTAGCAAAATATGGGGATAAAGTTTTATATGAGGATTTGTAAGGGAAGCAATCTTAAGAATAGTAGTGAAATGATGATTAGGGCATGTAGGTTTCATACATTGTGTGAGGGGTGCTTGTTTTGTTTGTTTGTTGTTTAACGTCCCTCTCAAGATTTTTTCCAGTCATATGGAGATGCCACCACTTGCCTTTGGAGGGCTGCAAATATATTCCTATATTCTGCACTCAGGGCTATTGAGCAGTGAGAGATCTTTCTCGTGCCAACACCTACTGCGACACATGTCCTCAGTTTATACAGTCTCATCGGAAGGACCGGTCCCCACGTCCCTCAGTGAGAATCGAACCCGCGACGTAAGGATCAGCTCCTTACTTGACTCTAGAGCAGAAACTCTAACTCCTGGACCGTGCGGTCGACGAGGGTGCTTGTGAGTAAAGTGAGTGGAGTGACCTGAGCTATTTTTTTAAGGCAATGTCAAAGTCAAGAATAGGTTGCTGTGTAAAAATGTGAGAAAATTCAAGATCAAGGTTGACCTACTTTTCAAAAATTTAACACTGTGACCAGTAAGGATTTGGCAGCAATTCAATGTTCTCAAGTTAACCATATGAACTTCTCTGAACCAAACTTCCGAGGTATTACATCTATGCATGATTTTCCGTCTTTGACCCAAACTTGCATGGTTGACACATCTATGCTTCGCTTTCTCTGACCCAAGCTACAAAGGTAGATACACCTAAGTATGACCTTCGTTGACCTAAACTTGCATGGTTAATACATCCACTATGAACTACCTTCTATGACCTAAACTTGCATGGTCAAAACATCTAATACATGTATGAATGACCTCCTATGAAATACACTTGCATGGTTGATATGTCTACCTTTCCAGATCCAAACCTACGTATGCAACTTCCAGCAACATGACAAGAACTACCTTTATTTTCTGACTGATTAGCCAAATCAATGAAAATTTACAAAATCTTAGTCCTACGTTTACCCAGTGTATCTTCTGATATATACAAACCACCTTGCTTAAATTCTGGAAGTGATGGGTATTAACATTTAATATGATTAAGGGCTCATACTACTAAAAAACTTACAGAATTATACATATGATGGAATTTTTGTGTGGAGCCTCTGAGAGACTTTCGTTCTTTACTATTGCTCATGGAAAAAAAAGATCTAGCAGTGGAAATCGATAACTTGACTCGGAGAGAGAAACGAAAGACAACTCTACAAGGGAGATTGGAAAAGCCTTGCTTATTAATTTATGATAAGATTTTGATGGTCAGGTGCGGATCCAGGATTTTTTTCCAGAAGGGGGAGGGGGCACCAAAAATACAAAAAAATCAACACAGAAAATCTTTCCAGACAAAAAAGTCCTTTTCCAAATGTGAAAAACCTATTTCGTGGTAGGACGTGGAAGGGGAGGGGGGTTAGTGTGGTGGGCGGGGGTTAGGTAGCTATACTTCACTTCGTAAGCTTTCTATGTAAGACTTTTTCTACCCACTTAATTATCTGGGGGTGGGGGGTGGGGATGGGGGGTCCAAGCTTACTTTCAGTTGCTTTAGTATATAAATGTAATAAGTTTGCAAATTCTAGGGGGTCCGGATCCCCCTCTAGGAGGGGTCCAGGGTTACTTTTTATTGCTTTAGTATATAAATTTAATAACTTTGCAATTTCCAGGGAGGTCTTGACCCCCCCTCCCCCCCCCCCCCCCCCCCCGATCAACGCATGGTGATTTATCAATTGAAACTTTGTTATTGTGGACGGGCATTTTTAAACCAAACACCATCAAGTGAGCTTTTCTGATCACCCGTCGTGCGGCGTCCGTCCGTCTGTCTAGCTTTAAGTCCGTCCATCTGCAAACTTTTCATATTTTTAACTTCTTCTCAAGAACAACTTGGCCAATTTTAACCAAAATGGTACAAAACATTCCTGGGAAAAGGGGTATCTAATTCATAAATATGAATGGCCAAGCCCCCTTCCAAGGGGAGATAATCAGGAAGAGGCGAAAATGAGGTTGGGTCATTAAAAATTCTCTTTCTCAGGAACCACAAAAAAATAAAACTTAGGTGGAAGCCTCCTGATGTAGTGTAGATTGTAGCTACTTCAAATCCGGGTCCTCGGGGCAAGGGTTGGGCCACAATAGTTTTGCATTGAAATATATAGGAAAAATATTTAAAAATCTTTTCTCAGGAACCACTGGGCCAGTAAAGCTGAAACTTACGTGCAAGCTACCTGAGGTAGTGTAGATTGTAATTGTTCAGATCATGGTACCCGGGCTTTGGGTAGGGCCACAATAGCCAATAAAATTTTTACAATGGAATATATAGGAAATATCTTAAAAATTGTTACCCCAAGAACTTCTGGACCAGAAAAGAAGAAATTTAGATGAAAGATCACTGAGTAAAATAATCTACATTTGTAAATCGTCTAAATCATGGCCCCAGGGTTAGGGCCATAATAGGGAATCAAAGTTTTTACATTTAAATTTATAGAGCAATTCTGTAAATATTTTCTTCTCGAGAATTCCTGAACCAAAAATGCTGAAACATGTGAAAGCTTTCTTGGATAGTGTAGACTGCTCAGATAAAAGTCGCCAGCGGGCAGGATTGGGCCACAATAGGGATTACATAGGAAATTATCTTTGAAATTCTCTACTCAAAACAACAAAACTTTGATGAATCATACTAATTTGTAAGCTTATTAAGTGATATTTTTTTATGACTCAGTATGACTCAGGTAAGTGTTGTGGCCGCTGGGCCTCTTTTTTATGCCCCCGGATCGAAAGATCCCGGGAGTATATTGTTTTTGTCCTGTCTTTCTGTTTGTCTGTCTGTTTGTCTGTCTGTCTGTTGGCAACTTAAACCTAGCCCATAACTATTGCGCTGTCAAAGGTAAGGCTCTGATATTTGACATGAGTGTTCATTATGACAAAGCCTTTCCATTGGTACAGAAATTTTTGATCATGTGACCTGAACTGTGACCTTTGGCCTACATTTGAAAAACTTTAACATTGGCCATAACTATTGCACTGTAGTCTATGTCACACTCCAGAACTGTGTAACCATCGGGGGCACAGTGTTTCACAAACACATCTTGTTTCTTTTTCTTTTTTTTTTTTTGTTTGGCTTTGCTTTATTCATGAAATCCATTCATTTAGATGATCTTTGTTATCTTTAATTATCTGTATATTTCTTTTTTTTTCAGATGGAGATACATTTTTGATGTGCCTTCTTCTATCCAATTCCTACAAAGTAAACATGAAAGAAGGAAACTGGATGACAAAATATAATGCTGTTGCCAACAGTTTTGACTCCAAGGAAATCACAAAGCCGTTTGCTCTTACAGATTTAGAAAAATACAAACCAATTCTAAAACTCAAAGAATTAGAGATCAGTTTTTCAACTGAGCTCTTCAAAAATATGAGTTTCCTGAAATTTTCGAAGATTTCAAAATTTCTTGATATTTTCCTGACTTGGGCCGAAAAAGAAAACATTGCTGAGTACTGTAGATCATGGAATTATCCAAGAGGAGAAGATGAAGTTTGCTGTTGGTTACTGCCAGAAAAAACAGAGGAGTTGCTAGAAAGACTTGGAGAAGATATTTGCACACACTCAACAATGAAGGACCAGTCAATACATGAAGCAGTATTTAGACAATGTAAGTGTATTTTAAGCTCACTTGACGTGTTTAATATTCAATTAAAAATTTTGTGACAGTTTGTCTAAGTGATCCATTTTTCTGTCTCTGTTATTTTCTTTGTCCATAAACTTCTTACTTTTTAGCTTACCTTAGCCGAGGGCTCAAGCGAGCTTTTCTGATCAAAATTTGTCCGTTGTCTGTCGTCGTCGTTGTCGTCGTCGTCGTTTTCGTCGTTGTTAACATTTCACATTTTCATCTTTCTCTCTAGAACTACTGGGCCAATTTCAACCACACTTGGCACAGAGTATTCTTGGGTAAAGGGAATTCAAATTTGTTCAAATGAAGGGCCACACCCTACTCCAAGGGGAGATGTTTAAGAGTTAGTGAAAAATTAATAACATCCTTTAAAAATCTTCTCCTCAAGTACCACTGGGCCAGAAAAGATGGAACGCATGTGGAATCATTGTCATGTAGTGTAGAGTCAAGTTTGTTAAAAATCGGTAGGATGTTGCCACAGTGGACGATCAAAATTTTACATAGGAATATATAGTAAAAATCTTTAAAAATCTTCTTAAGAACAGCAAAGCAATGATTGGTCATATTAATGAAATATATGGACATAATGAACAGTATACAAGTTCAAATGTCCATTAAATAATACTAAATAGGAGCAGAGCAAACACGGACCTCCAAACATCAGAGGTGGGATCAGGTGCCATGGAGGAGTGAGCATCCCCTGCCGACTGGTCACACCCGCCGTGTGCTCCTTGTCATGAACGGGAAAAAAATCGGAAAAATCCGTCGACAATTCAGTGTGTAAATAATGGATTAACAATTAGTATGAAAAACGTCAGTCAGCATTTGACCCAATGATAAATTGTATTTCTGACAAGGTCATTGTATCGACCATAGAACTTAACGAAATGATGACTTTAAAAGAGACAGCTGATTTTCTTGTTTCATCAACTTGTTTGTCAATAATTTACCTCGTTTTAGAAATTGTACATACGTAGAGCATGCTCTTGCGTATCGAATCAACTGAGAGATAAATACCCTGTATGTAGGTGATGAAGGTATATTGCTGCATAAGTAAGGGAAGTTGACGATTCAAAAGTTAAAGTCATCACTTTTATCATAAAGCTTGGTTGTTAGATTAAAGTCTTTTTCAAGTAAAATATACAGATATGAAACAGATGTGTAAGACTTTGTGGTGAAATATGAAAGCATCCTCTGGTGATGTAGATTCAAGTTTGTTAAAATCATGACCCCAAAGGGTAGGGTGAGGCCACAGTGTAGTTTTACATAGGAGTATATAGAAAAATCTTCAAAAATTTTCTTCTCAAGAACAGTAAAGTTATGATTGGTCATATTTATATGGAAGCTTTCTAAGGCGGTGTAGAATCAAGTTTGTTCAAATCATGACCCCGGGGGTAGGGTGGGGCCACAATGAATATTGAAATTTGAAGGGAAAAAAGGTCACAGTCAAAAAGTATGTAAGCATCCTTAGTTAGTGTAGATTCAATTTTGTTCAAATCATACGCTCCTCCCTTTTAGGGGTAGGTCGGGACCACTTATGCATTTACGCTTTTCAATACTAAACTGATTTTTGCTTGTTTCCTAGCCACAGTGCTAGTGAGCAATGTGGCCCCTGGGCCTCTTGTTATTATAAATTCTTCCCCAATTTCATTGTAATTAACCCAAGTATACCATTAAGCCCTTAGCTCATCTTATACAATTATAGAGGTTAGCTTCTATGTTTGAAGAAATATCAGAGTCCCTTTGTCACTATTTGTTATCTTTTAACATTTTTGATATTAATATAGAATTAAGATTTTTATATAAAATGTTGCCATTTTAAAGATTAAAGCTTAATAACAAGCAGCTATGTTAAGGCTTCCAGAAGTTTAAAATACGTTCAAAAAGTAATATTGCATTGCGTGGTCGGTTTTGGTTTTAATTTGTAAGTTATGTACTTAAGTACAACCAATTTATAAAGAGGGTTCCCTCGGCTATATATTAATATTTTTGATTTGACATCACAAGACCTTGTTGATCACTTGACGGTCATATTTTGTTTAAGTATTTCACACAAATCGCTTTGGTGCAGCCGATAAACAAAATTATTACAAATATTTTATTATATAAAGTCATGGTATCCTTGTGCACCCAAAATGTTCTTGAGAAAAGTCATAGTACTACAGCACAGTTAAGGCTACAAAAGGAAGCGGCGTCTAATTGTACGGGAAATGTTAACTATGACATCACACGAAACTAACAATCCTTAAAAATACCACAAAATGAAGTGATTTGCGATTTTAAACAGTAGGGGATAATTAAACCACATCAAAACTTACGATAACATGCGTTTTTGTTGTTAGTTAAATCCCACATAGCAAGGTTAAACCAAGTCACTGATTGCACTGCACTTGTCGATATGACGCCATTCCGTAAAACTTGACGCAGTTTGTATGCAGTGAGAGGCGGATCAAGTAATATTTTCACAAAGAAGAAATGTATTTTATAGTTAAATAAAATATTATTTGCAGATGTTCAATTGACCATTAATTTAGATGCAATGTCTTTTTTATGATTTTGTTCATATATTCACGGTACATTTTCTAATTAACGTATACAGCCGTATATTTGTATTCAGGTACATTGGAAAATAATCTAAGGGTCTTAATAAATCGATCTAGTGCAAGGACATACCCTCAATAGATCATGACAAGTTTTTAATCATAAACTCTAGAAGCATTAAGTTATTTGAAAAGTGCTGAGATCCTGTTCAAATCTTGAAACTGAATTAATTATTTCTATATTTAATGAAGGTGACCAGCAAAAAAATTCAGTATACGTTCATAAAATATGATTTAAGCAATGAGATAGTAGAAAAGATATAGTCTTTTTACAAACTACAATGGGTGTTAAAACTATTTAAATATTAAATTTCGAATTTTAACTGGGTTATGCCCTTGCACTATTGAAATTTTTAGGTGACCTCAATACTGCAAGTATGTGTGCTAAAATCACGTGACTGATACATCAAGTCTATATAGTCTATATAGAAAATCTAATCGTCCTCAATATGTACTTAATTACGAAAGTCCAGAAGGCTCATTCGAGATTCAGATTTCACCTAAAGCGCATCATTGCCAAATTGACCATAGGCAAGGAGGAAGTCGCCTCCTCTCTATAGAGGGGGTGGGGGTGGGGGGTTCGGAGGATCACTTTCTGCGATCTTGTAGACATCTATCATTGTCATTTTTCCAGTGAGTATAAATATAAAACATTTTAACATATTTTTATGATACAGAAATAAAAATCTTCATGACCACTTTTAGTAAAATTGAGGAATTTTAAAATCCTTACACCGTGCTTGGAAATGATGGAAACTTCTTTACTGAATAATCTAATTATAATTTTCAAAATGTTTTATGTTTGACTTCCTACTAAGCCAAACATATTCCCTAATTTCTATTCCGAGTCCTGTTGCTGTCATTTTTTATTAGTCTGATATCGACTTCAAGGTAACATTTCAATTTGAGATTTAACCATTCAGCTATAAAAATCAAAAGTTTTGTATACTGTAAAAATGGATATGCATAAAAGTGTGGATTGTTAAAAATGTTTTTATTGCATTTGATGAAAAAATATTCTAGTAACTGGTGAATAAATATGATTTATGATCACCTTCCCCCGTTTTTCAACCATATACATGTATAAATAAATGATTTTTTTTACATCAAGAAAATGATGTGTAGGCTACAGCCTTTTTGCTTATATGGAATATATACCAGTGGCAAAGCGACCGCGACTTTTCTTTATCATTACTACGATGTCTTTCAAGATTTTCTGTGTACACTAAAAAGGCATACATTAACTAAGTAATTTTAATACATACCCCTTTAGGCTATACAATTTTTTCAAAGTCCTAAAGGTGTATAGAGGGTCCATTGTTTTGTTAAAATGATTAAATTTTATCATTATTAAATACTTTTATACCTTTTTTTCTCTATGGCCATTACATTATGTATTGAAATTTGTGTATTGATTGGTTTTGTATCTTGTCTACCGTTGTAATGAAATAAACAACAGAGCCATAGGACCCTGGGCACGTGTCTCTATCTCCTCCCCCCATTCCCCTTATATTTTTTACCGATATAACATACTATAGAAAACATAGCGACTCTATGCTTGTATCCTTTCAAAAATAACGTCTAATAACCGTGATAACCCCCTGTTTTGTTTTGTTTTTTTTTTTTGGGGGGGGGGGGGGCTTTACAGTGATTTTTTTTCATTACTTCCTACGGGCCTGAAAAAAGAAAAATCATTATCTTTATTAAACATGTATATTTCAGCCATCCGTACTTAAGGGGCTGTCTCTTGGTTTCACAAACTTGGTCACTGGTCACATTCTGATACCTTGTCACAAACTATGTCCAAAGTTGCGGGTCCTTCGGATGAGACCTTAAAAACCTAGCCCCCGTGTCACGGCAGGCGTTGGCACGATAAAGATCCCTCACTGCTCAATGGCCCTGAGTGCCGAGTAAAGGTCAAAATTTGAAGCCCTTCACCGGTATATTATGATGTCTCTATATGAGTGAATAATTCTCGAATGGGACGTAAAACAACATACAATCAATCAATCAATCTAATACCTTGTTACAAATAATATCCACTTTGAAACCCGTATTGGTCACTGGTCACATTCTAATACCTTGTCACAAACTATATCCAATTTGAAACCCGTATTACTATTTATTATTAAACGCTAGTCACTTCTTTAATTGCACACTAATAATTCATATCGACTACAATAGCCCCCTCCCTTTGCTCTTTGAATATTAACAATATTTATCATTATGACATCAAACCTGTTAACAAAGTAGATAATACGATATAGATATTCTGAATATAATCTTTTATAATATTTAAGAAGTTATAATATAAATGTCAGCATATTTTGCAGACCAAAAACCCAATATTTTTTTTTCTAATTTCGTTCTGATATATATATA